ACAACGAGAAGATTGAAAATGTAGATAGTGCTAAACAATTTGAAGAAGATTCTGAAGATAAGGAACAAATTCCTGATGCTTATAATCAATGATTTGATGGATTCTTAAGATTAAGAAAGTGAATAAAGTCATGTTTAAGATTGTTAATACATTTGATCTAGAAAGAGAGTCAACTAAAAACCTTAGTGAGTTAAGGTTTAGTCAGGGAGAACTTCGAGGCTAAGGTTAAAACCCTGACAAGCGACCTTGAGAAATCAAGTACTCAATTCTATTCCTTACTGAATAAAACTTAGAAGCTGGACAGTCTTTTAAAGTTAAACAAGCCTGCTTGGAACAGGGAAGTTCTAGGATATAAGCAGACCGATCATAATAAAGCTAGTACTTTCAAAACCATTTTTGTCCCTGCCATCAACCAGCCTAAGTATGTTCCTAATCTTGAACTGAAGAACAAGTATATCGTAGGGAAAAGACCTACTAAACAGCGTAAGACCTACCAACCTAGGCATAAATATCGATGACCTCATAACTATAGACTAAGTTTATCCCTACGCATTTCAACTATGGTGAGTTCGGACATATAACATTTGATTGTCATAAATTTTCGAATAGAAATAAAAATAGAAATTTCACTAGAAATAGAAATCAAAATTCTTATAATCGGATTGACTTCCTAACTAATCAGGTAAGTCAATTGATCGAGATACTAACACAGGTGATTTGAAATAAGTCTTCCACTAGATAAGTTTGGGTTGAGAAGAGTGGTCTCTATGATCAGAAAGATTCTGACTGATAATGCTGTTTGTATTGCTCTTTAGGAAAGAGTAGTTTTATGTCTCACTGGGTTGGTATTTTTGGTGCATGCTTGTAATTATTCACTGTGTTATTATTGATAGCATGCATCTCATTTTATTTGCATTGACACGTGTATTTTATTTTTATTTTTTGTGCTGCACATTTTTTGTTTTGTGAGTTGGTGCATTCATGTTTTATCAATTAAAAAAATAATAAGTAAAGGAATTCTTTTATACTACAGCGTGATATATGAGTCACTTGAACATGTGAGTTGTGACCAAGAATGAGTTTAATTACTGTGCTATAATATATTTTCCATTACTTGATCACGTGTATGAAATTTAGGATGATAGTCATGTGTCTATAAGGTGATTTTAAACATGAATTGACCTTACACTAGTTGACCTAAGTTTGAGTATATTATCTTGAAATAAAAGTATCAATATCAATATCTTACTCTTCTTTGGAGTTTATTTGACTCGAGCAATTAAATTCGTGGGGTTTTTCACAACTTGGTGCCTATGGTCATCTAACGTAGGTCAACTGGCCTCAAGCTCTGTATAGTGGTCATCTTAGTCGCTTAATGAAGAAGAGATTGCACATAAGATAAGACAAAAGGAAAAATTTATGAGCTTCAAAAAAATAAATATATTTATATGCTAAAATTCAGGAAGAGAAAATAATAATATACAAAAAAACGAACTTCTTTTATATGTCTTAATATGATATTATTGGTTTGACTTTTATAAGTAGAGGGATAAATTTATTGGCAGTGATGATTAGCATGTCCTTTATCACAAAATTAAGGTTTGGAGTTCTGCTTACAAGGAATTGGTGACACTTTACACATATACGTCACTTATACAATTTACCCCATTTTAACATGAACTAAGTATGTTTGTGAGTTTATTGACCATTGATTATGCTTGTTTGTGCTTTCAACTGTATGTTTGAGTTCTTATATATCGTTGTCGGTTTAAAATAATTATATTTGATGTAGTTCCCTTTGTCATTTATGAGAAAAATGAGGAGTGGCAGCTTTCTCTTCTTTAAATAAAATGATTATTATAAAAGAGTTGTAAAAGTCAAGGAATCTGTTGGAATGTTGTATTAATGAACTAGGAGTTTTTGGAGAGAAAGTTGCATGACCGTTAACTGTATCTTTGAGTTTTAATATATCGTTGTCGGCTTATGATAATTACATTTGATGCAGTTCCATTCGTCATTTTTGACAAAAGGAAGAGTAGCTATTCCTTAGACAAATTTGATTATTATAAAAGAGTTGTAAAAGTCAAAGAATCTGTTGGAATATTTTATTTAATGAACTAGAGTTTTTAGGTTTCCAGTATGAAACATAGAGAAAGAGTCGCCTGAATTACGTTAGCCTATTGCTAAGCTAATGCTCGAGCTTCCAAAACAAAATCATCATCGCTTGTCTCGCTTTAGCCTGGTTCTCGAGCGACTTTGTTTTTCAAGAAACCCTAATTCGCATTTTTTTAGAGTTCTATCTGGCCCATATTAACCAGAACCTCTCTACTAGATATACCCATGCCCCACTTCATGAAAACTGTGGTTGATCATTATATTCTACTTTCATAACTTCCTTTGGTGAGAAAAGAATTGTTCTATATCTTGAAATTTATCGACCACAAGTTGAGAAAAACATAAAAATCAAATAATTCAAAACACCCACTACCTCACCATCACCACGGATGTACCTTCTCAGTAACTTTCGTTGAAAATTAAGGGAGGTTGGACCACAAGCACAAGAAGAAAATAAGAACAAGGTGTAAGTGAAACACGTTCCAACAAATTTTGGAGATTGCAAGAATTAGATCAACGAGTCTAGCTGATTTTCTTAACTGGATCATACTGTAAGTTCTTATTGTTTATAATAGAAGTGACTTGCTTGATCCCAGAGTTTTTAATCCTTTGAAGGATTTTCTACGTCAACAAATCCTACTTTATTGACAATTGTGGAAATTCAACTAGAATAAAATTGACTTGTTTGACCAAACATCTAGAACAATTAAAAAATGATTTGTTACTTTTAATTGATAATTTTAACTATGTGGTATTCACCTATTTATCCCCTTTAGTTAATTTTAGGCTCGAACTAATAACTTTCATCTTATAAGACTTGCTGACATAGCTTCATATTATGAAGCTTTGTAACACTAATTTACATTGATAATTTAAAGATTTTAGTTATGGATTTAAATCTAACCAGATCAAACATGAACCATTTAGTGCGATTCCACATATGCAATCAAACAATGGTACACTTATAAGATAATCATTTGATTTTCAATTGCATTCTATTTGATATCAAATCGAATTGAAACGGAATTAAATCAAACCAAATTGTGTCCTCCTTTATTTGAACATGTAACTCAATACGCTACGTTATCACCTAGATAAATTAATATTAAACACTCGTAGCATCATCTTTTTCTCATTCACCCTTCCTTCTCCGAAGAGTCATTGATGGGGCCCTACCTAAAATTAGTCTTGAGATAAATATTACAATTTATTTTAATTAGATTATCCCAAATTCATATTAGGTGGCCCACTCACAAAATTTAGTTGGAGCATCCTCTCTCAGATAAAACTCCACATTACTTTTGAGACAATTATTAATTCGCTCCAATCTGTGATTTGACAGACAGACATTTTATAAGAATTATAATTTGTTCATGCCGTAGAAAATATAAAAAGATATATTATTTATCAATACGATTTGACATATCAATCAATACGACATTTTGTTTAAGTTTGTGCAAGACATTTTTTTAAGTACTCTAATGAGCACTTTATATTTACACTTAATTTTATTAATTCCAAAAAATATTTATTATTTTTTACTATTTTTTATTTTCACCAGATTTCTTCCAGATTATTATATTATTTTTTTTCATTGAAAATTGAAATACTTTGAATGTCAATTTAAATTGTGCTCAATGGTCAGGCTTTGAATTTGCTCTCCAATGATCACCAGTTCGAGGTCCCTCAGAGTCATTGAGTAATATTTGACCGTAAATTTCAAGACCCAATAAGATTAGTTGAGGTACGCGTAAATTGGCCCGAACACTCATAGTCATAAAAAAAAAGTCAATTTAAATAGTCTCTTTGGTCGTAATTTTAATAATTAACTTTTTAAAATATAGATCATCTTATATTTAAAAAGTCTCGATAAATGATACTTTTTCTGCTTTAACATTATTATCGTTGCATTTTATCTCATCAATGTTACATTCTTAACACACACTATCATAAAAGGGAAGAAAAGTCTTTTTGGTATGTAATTGGTTATTTACTATTTTATCTGATCAAAGGTTTCCCACTTGAATTGCACCGCATTAGCTTTAATGATAAAAATCACCCCAATTGGCCCATTACACCAGCTCATTTTTAACACATGGCAATTGGTAAGTGATAAGTTTTGACTTATGATTCTCTAAATAAACAATTCAACATTTGCTATATATTTATAAAAATTTATCTTCTGGCAAAAAATTTTATGGGTTTTAACAAGGAATTAATTGTTCCAACGGTTACAAAACTTCGATTCATATTTTTGATTGATCACTAAAATTTAAATTGTCGAGTTTTGATCACAGAATTTACGTTTATGTCTTTGATTGCTCATTGAATTTTAAAATGTCGAATTTTGGCTACTGAACTTTAAAAAATATTGTACATTACTCACTAAAATAAATGTTGAATTTTGAAAAATTTCGAGTTTACAATGAGTAAAATACAACGATTTTCAAAACTCAGTGGTCAAAACTCGATATTTTAAACTTCAACGAGCAATCAAAAACATGAACGTAAGTTCAGTGATCAAAACTCGATATTTTAAATTTCACTGACCAATAAAAAATATGAACCTATGTTTAGTGACCATTGGAACAATTAACTCTTTAACAAGTGAATTGATTTTCTTATTCATTTTCGATAATTGGATTTGATATTATGATAGATAAGACTAACAATGCATGAAAATTTTATTCTTTAATTTTATCTAATATATCATGAAATTTACTTCTGAGCAACTCAAAAATCCCATTTGACCCAATCAACTCCGTCCAAAGTCATTGATGTGCGGTGAGAATAATCCGAAGGTGCAATTGGATATCCGTTCAAGTTATGATCACGGTACCATATCTAGTATACACCACCGGTATATCCTTTAAATTACACCACTCCAAATCCCTTTTTAATTCCCATATTTCAGATTAATCACTTTTTTTCAATTCAATTATTTAAAATAAGTTCCTTAGAATATTCCATTCGCATATTGTACTTTTTATGCAGAAGTTCTACTCTTTTTAAGGACTCATCATTCTCATCCCTCTCCTTCACAACCCAAACAGATACAGAAACGCTTAATCATAAACATGTTTTTGTGGTAGATTGTAAAAAGCTGTTTTAGAAAAAAAGCACTTTTATTAGATAAGCTCAAACGGGAGGAAAGCATGTCTGCTTTAAGTAGGATGAAGAGAGTCACTGACCCGTGGGATGAGAAGGTGATGGACCGGATCGTCGGCATAGAGAAGATTGGAACCGCTTACGTCAGCAGCGGTAGTGAACACCTCGACCAAGTCGAAGATGACGTCATCTCGCCGAGTTTGTCCGAACTTTTCTACGGTTTTACTGTTGAAGACCCCGGAGACTCGTCGTTGGAGGTAAAGGACTCCGATTCTGAGCGCGATCCTTCAATGTATGAGTCAAGTGAGGTGAATTTAGACTTCGTCAAATCGATTCTGCAAGGTGAGAGAGAAGCGTTTGAAAAAGGACTTTTAGGTTTTGTTTTGAAAGCTGTGGAAGTGTTTTCCGACGTGAAATCTAATAGGCAGATTTTGCGAAGAAATGTCATGGCGTTTTTGAGACATAAAGGTTACAATGCGGCGATTTGCAAAACAAAATGGGAGACATCTGGCGGACTCACCGCCGGAAACTACGAATTCATCGACGTTGTTCGATCGGACTCCAAAAGATATTTCGTCGATCTGGATTTCGCTTCGGAATTCGTAATCGCGAGGCCTAGTAATTTCTACCAGCATCTTCTTCAGTATTTGCCGAGAGTTTACGTTGGTAAAAGTGAAGATCTAAAGCAGATTTTGAAGGTAACAAGCGACGCGGCAAAGCGATCACTGAAGAGCAAAGGTCTCCATCTTCCGCCATGGCGGAAGCACCGTTTTATGCAGAACAAGTGGCTCGGTCCTTACCGGAGAACGACCAATCTTTTCCCAGCGAAATTTTCCTCTGATACCCCGGCGTTGATTCACGGTTGCCGGACCATCGGTTTTGACACCACCGTCCACGGCGGCGGGCGGTGGTTGTCATCTGCTACAGCCCGTACCAGATGATTGCAATAAAGTAAAATAATATTCCAATTTTGTTGAAATTAAGAAGTGAATTTTAGCAAAGTTTGTCTCTTTGCCTTTCAGGCAGTGTACGCGGCATTTGCACGTCGTGTACATGACGGCGCATATTAGCCAATTCACGAGCGAATTGAATCATTCAAAGTTCAATAGTTAAAAAACAGTCTCTAAATCCGTATCGAACGGCTCTAATTTACTTTAGGGATGAGATGAGGATAAATTCACTTTTGTCTTTTGCTACTTTTAAGGACTCCTGGCTATACTAGAATTAGGGTTGTCCAAGAGCTGAATGGAACTATTGACTCCTCTATCTGCCTCGTCTCTTGAGTGCTTCAGGATATACAATCACAAACTTTTATGATTAGCTTTAATTTTTAATTACAACTAGTTAGACAAGGCCTTGGTTATGGTCACTCGTGGCCTATCTAATGAAAAAATTCGTACTCAAGTAGAGATGACAATTGGACGAATTCGAAGATCTACACTTGTTCGAGGTCAGGATTAAGTAGGGATGAGAACACAGAACTCCCATTCCCAATTTATAAATAATTTTATTTATTTAAATATTAATTAAGTTATATTATAATTACACTATAGTTATCAATTATTTCAAAAACTTAAGTTAGTGAATGATGAAGAAGAAAGAAATAACGCACTCGAATTTCAAGATAATAAAGCTAAGTGTATGCTTGAGTGTATAGAATTGTATTACCTTTGAAATAGCACTAAGTGTAGGTATTTATAGGAAAAGTGGTGGATTTGGAATCATTGGATGGAGGGACACGTGATCACATCTGTTGGTCGAAACGTCCTCTCCTAAGTAACAATCAATTAGTCTCCAGGTGGGAGGACATGCCACCTAATAAGTGAATTTTGTGACTTGACTTTTTGACATCAGCTACACAAATATCACATTAATCAATCATTAAATCTTATTTTGACAAGATCATTGTACAAAAGATCCCCTAGTTAATGGAGATGAGGCAAGGTGATAGTATTCCTCCATTCCACCTCTTACCACTTCACCATATATCCCTCTGAGACCTATCATTTCGACGCCTTGACCGAATCGTGGATATACATATGGGCCACTTCACCTCGACACTTCGATGGTACAAGGTGACGTGGAGTGTGGACCTTATTAACTTGCTCAACTACCTGCCACAGTGGTGGCGATCTAGACCCTCTTCATAAGATGCATAACATTTTAATACATGAATAGAATAATTAAACATAATTTCGCGGGGATGGTGTGGGAACCTATATCTCCATCCTTGCCTCGTTCCCCAATTACTCGAGAATCGCCACTCAGTTTTTCATCCCCAAACTCAAGTTAGATAGAAAATGTTAAATAATTATTGTCCATCATGACTTCGCGTCAACCACACAAGGGCCCCATTACATAACCGTTTGTCTTTGGATATTCGTACCTCAGTCGCCGAGGCATAATTGAAGAGAAAGAATTCAAGAAAAAGTTTCGTTTATCATTTACACCAACATAGTAAAGGTTCTGTTTAACTTAAGTATTTTTTAGTTAAGCAAAAGAAGAAATAGAATGGTCAGGAAGATTGGTGAACCCGCTAAAGCGCATTGCCAGACTGGAGTTTAACCTCTTACACATGCAAGTCGTGAAGGTCTATCGAATTGCGTCTGTGAACATCCTCCCTTTATCAACTTTTATTTTTAGGTCAATAAGAAAAGACTAAATATATTTAAAACACATTTTTTAATAACTAGACTATATTTTAATTGCATAAAAGTTATTAACCTTTACAAAAATCACATTATTGTCTCAAATTTTTTTCATTGCATTTTTATTTTTAAATTGACATAAATTGTACCCAGCGGCAGATGCAGCACCTGACGAGCCCCCGCCGCCTCCCGTGCTGGATTCGTCGGAACTAAATTTTTTTTACTGTCAAAGTATTTATATTTTTTTCTGTGATTTCATTTGATTCACAGCAAGCTCTTATTGCTTAGCTGGTTAGAGTACTAGACAAGTGAAGGGGATTTGACTATCATCTTTATCCTTTTGCAATTATTTTAGTTTAATATTTTTAACCATTTTGGTTCAAATTAATAGGCATAAAACTAGTGCAAATGGAAAATTCAAACTTGTGATCTCCATTGGAATCATGGAGCACTTGACCGCTATGGCTATTGGTGAATGTTGATAATGCATGCAGCAGAAGTCTATATATTCTTTAATCAAGTATAAAGATATATATATATATATATATCCACTTTTTTAGAACAATAAAATTCAACCTTATAGTGAGATTATTAAAGTAGTCATTTTTTTCTATTAAACTGATATAAGTAATTTAAATTCATGGCACTGGTTATTATTGTGGCAGTCGACAGTCAACGGTCGCCCGTGCTCAATTAAAATCTTGGATTCCCCACTAATTGCACCTGATTATGTTTTATCTCAAAAATTTTCTTTAACATAAATAATAATGCAAAAATATTATTAAATAGTTGACCATCATTTTAAAGTACGATAATAATATTTTTAGACAAAAACTTTGATTAAAGATGAAATTTTCTGATTAATAAAATATTAAAAATAAGAATGTGGTGAAGAAAAAAAATTAAGGATATAAGTGTGACTGTGTGATATTGAATAATATTTAATATTATTAAAACGTGATTAAAAAATGTGACGTGAATATAACCCCTCCAGGAAATGTTTCTTGTAGCCCAAGACAGCAATTGACTATGACTATGAAACAGAAAAACCCATTTCCCATTCGGAAAAAGCCCAGTGTACAGGGCTTTTTCCTACAGGGTTTATACAGTGAGGGCCCCACATGTATTAAAAAAATTAACGCTGGTCCCACCAATGTGAGTACTTGTAAAATATCTGACAAAAATAAACCCTGTACATGTAGGGTGGTCCTTCTCATTCACCCATTCTCAGACTCCAAGAGTCACGCAAAGGGATACAAAATTCCAAATTCAGGTCCCACGCCGAGAGTTTAGTTGGATTATCCTATTTATCTCATTCTTTGTTTGGGTTTCATTCATTAAAATTTAATTTTCTTCAAATTTAAATATTTTTAATTAAATATTTTTTAAGGTAAATTTAAAATTTGTCCATATATTTTAATCTTATATTCTCTTAGAAAATCATTTTTTACAAGACCTACTCTTAAAAGGCAGAGTTCAAATAGGATTAAGCCGTTGTTTAACAATCATTATTTAGATAAAATGATATTTTGAATGGTAATTTTTAAAAGAATGTGAGGTTATAAAGTAGGAAAAATTCCAAGTTTACGTCCAGAATATTTTATTGTATGGATATATGGTTGAAAATGAGTGTATAGAGGGCAAAAAGAGTTTCCTGAGATGCCCTTGAGACTTGAGTAAATAACGTAAAAGTATGCCTCCGAGTTTGTTTTATTGATAGCATCCCCATGTAATTCACATATTTTTAAAATTTATACAAGTTATGTTTATGTCATTTAAGTCGTCTGCTATAGTGACTTATCTTGAATTTGTATCTAGTTTGTTATAAATTAGAGAAAAAGGGAATAAAGAATATAAAGCAATAAACTTGTGTATATTAATAAATTTTGTAGATTTGAAATAGATTTTCACAAATTTTTGATGTGACATGTGATTGTATTAATTTTTAAGGTAAAACCATTTATATACCATGGTATATAGTGAACCCCCTCATGGTAAGGAGAAAATCTTCGCTAGGGCAATCGCACCTTAGTGGGTGGACCGCAGACACCCTCGAGGTGTGTGGACCACCTGTCAAGATGGTGCTATATGGGGGGCCACTCGTTGAGGTGGCCCTCCTTATAGGGCAGTTGCACCAAAGCAATGGTGCGATCATCTCATCGAAAATATTCTCCATGGTGAGGGGATGTAAAAGTGTTCATAGAGCGGAACCCTAATTTTTAATACACAAACGGGAAAAGCTATGAGAAACTACAGTGAATTAAAGTGGAGTGGGGGCAGTACTTTTGGGGATCGGATAAGGATAAAATCACTTTTGTCGTTTGGTACTTTAAGGCTCCTCCTGACACTCCTAATGGGGTATTCTATTGGCCTCTTGGCCCTATGGTTCTTTGGGATATCATACAAAACCTAAATATTTGGCCATGTGATCACATTGTTTAATGATAAGATTTTTAGCTTTTTCACAATTTATTTGAAATTATTTTTCAATCATACTTTTTTTTAATAAAATAATTTTATACTTAAATCTATAAATTTACAAACTATTCACGATTTCTTGATTGAATCAATTCTATACCTGTTCTAAATTAGAGGAATGTTGTGGTAAAAATAATTTTCACTTCAAATAATCTCTCGCAATCAAATAATTATTTTATTAAAAAAATACATATTTTATTATTTTCAATATTGACAATGTAGTGTTCCTTATTAAAATGTATTTGCTAGCTTAACCCATGACACCGGCGGATCCAGCACCCGGCGAGCCCCCGCGGTCGCGAGTGCTGGATCCGCCGGGAGCCATTTTTTTTTGAGTGAGAATAGACAAATATATAGGATATATTAATGGTAAGTCACATCTCTTTCAACCGTTCCTTGTAGTCGAGTTGGTCAGCCCTTGCCTTTGTTTATTTTACGTCCCAGGTTCGATTCCGTCCACCAATTTATTGTATAAATTTTTAGTTATACAATTTTCACCAAAAGCAATTGAAATAAGAAAAGGGCTAATGGGGAATTGAACCTGTGACCTATTCTAAGATATAATGAAGCTTGACCATTATGACATCCAATGACTTGTGGTACAAAGTTTAATAAAATAATATATGTAAGATTTTATTGGTTTTGATGCAATTATAAAAATTTTAATACCACGTTCTTCCTTTGAATTATACAAAACAATAATGTTATTTGGTGAGTATAATTTATTCTTATAACAAAATTATATATGTTCAATTTTAACAAAATAATTATTTTATTTAATTTTGAAACCTTGTTTGTCCCATTTTGTTCAGAATACATTTTTCTTTCTCTTATTTTCAATCAAACATTCTTTAATAAAATAATATTACACGTAAATTCAAAATTTTTTATTATTTTTAACTACACATTCTCCATTAAATCACTATTCCGAAATGCATTTTTTTCTTTTTTCTTTTTTTTTTTTAGCAAAAAATGACATCAAACAAGCCCTTAATATTTTATTATGGCCGCCCATGCTGACTCAACATTCTAGATTCGTCCCTGAACCCATCCATTTGACAATAATTTAAATGAAGCTCTCTGTCTCTCTCTCTCTCTCTCTCTCTCAAACAGACATTCTTATGATAAAAAATTTTG